AGTGTATGTTTGGGTCAAGTCATTTTTAATCCTTTAGTTGAAAGTATTAATTCATTCATGAAACACTTAGCCATTGATAGGTTAAGAACTACGCGAGGGGCCTTCTCTCTCATCTAATCCTCAACAATTCTGTAATGTAGAAACGTGATTTTTAACTGCTCCGAGGGCTCATAAAGGTTGCGTGACTCTGTCACAGTCACACAGTTTGTTTGGCACCTATTGAGTTCCTGTTATGCGCCCAATGCCGCACTTAGCCCTTCACGCATTTTACACACGAAGGCATGAGGATGAGAGAGGCTGGGGAGATAACTCGTCACAGTGGCCAGGGTCTCTGCAAAATCCTTGTTCATTCTGCTGTGCCGTGTTAACCATTGATCTGTGCTGTGATACGTGCTTTGATATTTTTGTTGTCTGCAAGGTGGTCTAGGAGTCCAGAGGGAAACCAAGCCTGAGAAGTCCGATAGGGTTTCACAGAAAAGGTGGCGTTTCAACTAGGCCTTAAGAAAGGAGGTTTTCCAAAGAGAGAAATAGAGGAAGGCACTGTTGTCAATGAGAAGGCATGCTTAAAGACACAGGGGTGTCGCACGGTTGTGTGGAAGGGGCTGTGGTGGCTGTTGCAGGATGCGAGGCCAGGAGGTGTGCAGAGGTGGCCTGGTGGGGGCCTTGTGGACTGTGCTCTGGAAGTTTGGGTTCTGCCTTCTGTCTAGCATGGAGTCGCCGCTGGGAAGTGGTGTGACTGGATTTCTGTTTTCGGAGTGTCACTGGTGTTATTGGGTAGGATGGCCTAGGCAGGCCGACTACTTAGGAGATCATGATGATAATTCTGGCAAGAGCCTGACCCAGGACATTAGTGGGGGTGAAGAGCCTCTGTGAGCGGAAGCCATAAGTGGTAGACAACTTTCATCAGTGCCTCTGCTGTCGCTGCACACATCATTGCGAATCTTTTTTGTTGTTGTTTTTATAAAACCAAGAACACAACTGAACTCATTTTCACAAACTTGCTCTTGCTCATACTTATTCTAGGGTGAGTAATGACGCGTATACCTTCATGCTTGCATATGTGTGCATGTTTACTAATGTATCTATGATTGTGTGTACACTAACTGTGGCATATTATACAGTCTGTGCTGAAATTTGCTTCTCTTCCCACTTAAAATATCTTGGAGGTCATTTTTTATTAGTAAACCTGGAGCTGCCTAATGCCTCTTGATAGCTGCTTAGTATTTCATTATATGAATGTGCCATAATGTACTTATAATACATAGTGTATTATGATGGACATTTAGGTTTCTTACATCTTGCCATTTCAAATGATACAGTGAGTATTCTTGTATATACATATCACTTTGTACATATGCAAGCATATCCAAATTTCTAGAAATAAATTCTTGGAAGATTTGAAATTCGTTGAAATTGCTGAGTCAAGCAGGCTCACGTAATTTTAATATATTGCTGACTTACTTTCCATACTGCCTGCTTTCTTATTCTCTCACCAATACAAGGAGCGATCAGATCTTGATGGTGATTCATCTGAAAGGCAAAACCGGTACCTTATTGTAGCTTTAATTATGTTGGAACCATTTGCCTTTCCCTTTCAAGGAATCATGTCTATCTCATTTTTCGTTTTTCTCTTGTATTATTGACCTTATTTAGCTGCAGGAGCTCTTGATATATTAAGGAAATTAGCCATTTGTCTGGTATGAGTTCCAAATATTTCTCCCCAGCATGTTGTTTGCTTTTTGGCTTGACTTTTGGTAGTTATTATTATAAAATTTTCTTTAGTTAAACTTATCAGGTTTGTGTGTGTATGTGTGTGTCTGTGGCCTCAGAATTTCATGTTCTACTTAAAGAAGACCTTCTCTCTTCCATGATTATTTTTTAAAACTCTTCCATTGCTTTTCTTCTAGAATTTGTATAGTTTCATTTTTTTTTGTACTTAAATCTTTCAGCCATTTGGGATATGGTATTAAATATGGATCAGACTTTTTTTCTCAGTTGTCCCAACACCATGCATTGAAAATTAATCTTTCCCTGTTGATTTGAAATTAGGTATCCTTTTTTGTGTGGGTCTTATCTGCCCAGGTAGATCATAAACTTTTTTTTTTTTTTTTTTGCTGAGGATGATTGTCACTGAGATAACATCTGTGCCAGTCTTCCTCTATTTCTATATGTGGGATGCCACCACAGCATGGCTTGATGAGTGGTGTGTAGGTCTGTGCCCAGGATCCGAACCTGTGAACCCTGGGCTACCAAAGCGGAGCATGTGAACGTAACCATTACACCAGCAGGCCAGCCCCTATAAACTTTTTAAAGGCAACAATTCAGTGTTATCCTGTCTTGTATTCCCCATGAATCTGCGCATAATGTTCTGCATAAAATAGATATGACATTAATTTTTTTACATTTTAAAAATTGTGAATTACATATATAGGAAAGTACACAAAACCTTCGTATACAACTTAATGAAAATGTATAAAGGAACACCTGTGTAACCGAAACTTAGATCAAGAAATAGGCCATTTCCAGCTCCCGGAAGTCCCCTGTTTACCATTCCCAATTGCAGTCCTCTCCCATCCCCCGGAGGTAACCACTCTTTTGACTTGTGACAGTGATTTCCTTGTTTTTCTTTTTATTAATTAAGGTTGACCCATGTGAAATCACCATTTTTTGTAGGTAAAAAATCATTGAGTATCTGCAATTTCATAAGTCAACCTAGCAATATTACCACCTATGGATGGATCTCTAAACAGTATAGTTTAGTTGAGCCTGTTTTTTTTTTTTTAATCTTTTTTTTTTTCTGCTTTATCTCCCCAAACCGCCCCCTCCCCCCGTACACAGTTGTATATCTTAGTTGCACGTCCTTCTAGTTGTGGGATGTGGGACGCTGTCTCAACATGGCCTACGACTGGTGCCATGTCTGCACCCAGGATCTGAATCCTGGGCCGCTGCAGCGGAGCACGTGAACTTAACCACTCGGCCACGGAGCCGGCCCCAAGTTGAGCCTGTTTTTGAATGTTATTTCAATGTAATCTTACCCTATTTGCTCTTCTGTGCTGTCCTCCTTTCCCTCGCTAGGATGCAGTATTCCGCCATGTTGTTGCAGGTTGTCAGTTCTCCTTGCTGGATGTATCCCATCTTATGACTCTACTACATTTATTTATCCAGCCCACTCTTGCTGGATTATGAGTTGTTTCCAGTTTTGAGTGTTGCAAACCACGTTGCTGCAAAAATCCTTGGACATGTGTTTTGATGCATGTGACCAAGATTCCTTCTAGGGTAGGATCAGCAAAGTAGGGCCTGCTGCCTGGTTTTTCGTTTATTTTTTTAAAATGTTGCATTTTTAAAAACTTTTACATGTCTAGAAAAGCAGGGAAGTTGGTACAGAGTTCCTCTGTACCCTTTACCCAGCTGCCCCTAATGTAAACATCTTACATAATTATGGCCCGTTGGAAACGAACACGTTAGTGTTGGTACGGTGCTGTTAACTACAGACTCTTTGGATTTTGTCAATTTTTCCATTAATGTCCTTTTACTGTTGTAGGACCCAATGCAGAATACCACATTGTATTTAGTCGTCATGTCTCCTCAGATATGAGACAGACTTGCCAACTGTAGCACAGTACTTGTGTAATGTTCTTTTTGTTTTTAGCCTTAGAGTATCCAATCAAAACACTGTTTTCCGAAGCTCCTGTTACATAGTCTTTGGGGTCTCATTTCTTTCACTTAGAAAGATTCATTTAAAATTCATCCGTGTTGTTGTGTGAATCGATAGCTTGTTCCTTTCGTTTTTTTGTAGTTGTGGTGAATTTGCTCATTACATAAAATTAACCGTTTTGAAGTGAGCAGTTTAATGGCATTTAGTACGTTCAGAATGTTGTGCAACCACCACGTCTTTCCAGTTCCAGAACATTTTCATCACTCCCAGATAAAACCCTGTGCCCGTTAAGCAATTACTCCCCATTTCTCCCTCCTCCCAGCCTCTGGCAGCCACCACCCGGCTTTCTGTTTCTATGACTCTGCCCATTCTGGATATTTCGTATGAATGGAGTCATAAGACATGGGACCCTTGTGTCTGGCATCATGTTTTTGAGGTTCATCCCCATTGTAACACGTATCAGTACTTCATTCCTTTCTTTTTTTGTAAATTGTGGTAAAATATATATAACAAAATTTGCCATTTTAACTGTTTTAAGTGTACATTTTAGTGGCATCAGTTACATTCTCAGTGTTGTGCAACCATTACCACTATCTATTTCCAAAGCTTTTTCATCACCCTAAACAGAAATTCTGTTACCCATTAAGCAATAAGTCCTCAATGTCCACCCCTCCCAGCCCCTGGTAACCTCTAATCTGATTTCTAGTTCTATGAATTTGCCTAATCTAGATGTTTCATGTAAGTAGAATCATACAATATTTCTTCTTTTGTGTCTGGCTTCTTTCACTTAGCATGATGTTTTCAAGGTTCGTTCATGTGGTAGCAGGTGTCAGAACTTCATCCCTTTTTATGGTTGAATAATATTCCATTGTATAACTATATCACATTTTGTTCATCTATTGATGGACGCTCGTGTTGTTTTTGCCTTTTGGCTCTTGTGAATAGTGCTGCTATGAACGCTAGCACACAAGTATCTGTTTGAGTCCTTGTTTTTGATTCTCTTGGGTATATACCTAGGAGTGGAGTGGTTTGCCAACCCCAGGTCTAGAACGTGTATAACGGTAAACTGAATTCCAAGTGGTGAGATCACAGTCTAGACAACACTTGGTTTTACCAGATTTAAAAATTTTTGCCAATCTTGTCTGTGTGTAATGGTATTTCGTTGTGATTTGAATTTGTATTTCCTGATTTCTGATGGAGTTGAACACATTTTGACATGTTTATAAGCCATTTAGATTTCCTCTTTTGTATTGTGCCCGTTAATTTTCCTATTGGTGGTTTGCCTTTCTAAGTTAGTGTTGATGAATTGATGTCTCCAAATAATGTTTACTCTGTGTTTCTGCAGAACAAATAGTGGAGAAAGATGAAGGTCCATATTACACTCACCTGGGATCTGGCCCCACGGTAGCCTCTATCCGGGAACTCATGGAGGAGCGGTGAGTGATGCACAGATGTCCAAGGAGAAATGGGCAAGTTGTTAACAGAATATGGATTTTAAGCAGCTGTCATTTTCGTTGCCTTGTACTAGATAGTCTACAGAAAGGAAGCCCTGGTGTCCAGACTGTGGAAGGATGAATGTGGGATTCTCACCCCCTATGCTGCTTCTGCGTTTCTTTCTATCTGTAGGTCTGCCCCCTTATATCCCCCTCCCCCACTCTTTTGCTCTGTCTTTCTTGAAATATTTTTTATTGAAGAAATGGGGTTAAATGGTATATGTCCTAAAGAGGTTCCCATGGTCTGAATTTTGCTGCTGGCTTTCTTGTAGTATTGTGTAACAAGTTCTTCTGCCCTCTGTAAATTGGTAGTTAGATCTAAAGACTTGATCTAAATCAGGTTGCATTTCCATTCTTTCTTGTTTTCAAAACTACTTCATAGGTGGTATTTTGTACCTCTGTTAGAAGGAATGTAATGTCTTGTCTTTTGCCAGTGGGTGTCTCTTCAGGTTGTCTCCTCAGTCCTTTTGACATGGTCCTAGAAGTGTTTAATATCTTTCTTGATTTCTCATATGACAAGGTGTTCTGGGTTCACGTTGTGCATTTATCCAAGAAGTCCTGGTTTTTTTTTATTGGAGGAAAATGTATTGAGAAAACAGACTCTGGGTACTAGGGGTACTCATTGCTACTGGGGTGCTCATTGTTTCTAGGCTGTTGCAGTTGAAGGAGCTAAGATATATGTGTAGGTTTTTGATTTTTGTTTTGTTTAGTGATTTAATATATCATGAGTTTATATTGACGCTTCCAATTCAAACTCAAGACCATAGGGTTTTTACTTAATAGCTCTGTTTTGTTTTTGTTTTTTTTTTACAGCAGTTTGTATAGATAGAGACTTTAAAATCTCTGTACATTTCCACAGCGGATATTAAATAGTGTGAGTTCCAGCATATGGAGAGGTAAAATAGCTTGGTGATTGAGAGCGTATGGACACCAGAGCTAGATTAAGGTCCAGTCCTGGCTCTGCCACTTGCTGCTGAGTCCTTGCTAAGTTTCTCTACTTCTCTGTGACCCAGTTTTCTCATCTGCAAGATGGAGACCGTGATAAAAGTACATACATTGGAGGAAAGTTGTGAGGATAAACTGAACTGATGTCTGGAAAGCACTTAGTGCTTATTAGTAAGTACTGCACGCAGGGTGTCTACCTCATATACATGTGTACTGATTACATTTTTTATAACAAGCATTAGTATTTTAATAATAAAGGCAAAGATTCTGTAGACAGAAACATATTTGCTCATACATATGCCTACAGATGTGTGGAAGGTTGAGGCGCTTAGAGTTTCTACAAATTTGGAACCAGATTTTCTCTGACCAGGGGAGCCAAATTAATCCTGTCATTAATACAGCAGGGAACATGAGTTTGAACTGAATAACTGTAATGGCATCCTGAATGAATAAAAGGTAAGAGGAATGGAGGACAGTGACCTGCTGTGAACACTTTTAACAGATGGAGCCCTGTGCCATCTGGAAGCATTTATATTCAAAAAGCATTTGATCAAAGACCCAATCTGCAAATTCAAGCCTGATTGAAGGGGCACCTCTGAGTCCCTGAGAATGAAACATTTAAAACAGGGCGTGTGTTGTACATGTACGCCCACGTGTGCCCACCTACGTATGTCTTGCAGTTTTGAGGTTGGAGCGGGCATCTCTTTGGCCGGTGGTTTTGTAAGGAATCTTGACCCTGTCGTTTTCCAGTTGAGGGCTGTGGAGGAGTCAAATCTTCGAGTTGGATCTGGGACCGTTTTTGTATGTGTTTGTTTCTTGGTAACAGTTTATAGGATTTCTAGAGAGCTCTCTAAATAACTTTTAGTTATAGAAGAGTATGTTTTGAAACGAGGATTAAGAGAGAGTGATAAAGTTGAGATTTGTCCTTTTCTCTCTCATTGCTTTAAAAATAACAGCCAAGTGTGGATTCTCTAGAAACTGATCCAAGGAAGGAATTCCTCTCAAGACCAGGAATACTTGTGTTTTTCCTCAGCAACTGGTTTATTTTTATCTTAAGGACCTTGTAAATCATATAACAGATTGCGATTCCATCTTTATGTTGGCTGCTAGTAAGCTCAGAGCCAGATTTGTGTACCCCCATTAGGAGGCGGGAAGTTTCTCATCTTTGGCCCAGGGGAGCCTATTCACGTTCACTCCTGAGTCCTTTTGCTGTGACCCTAAGGAGTCTTCATTAGCTTGCTCGATTTCTCACTTGTTGAAATATTCCAGACTCATCTTTCAAAATACGCAGAAGACCCCAGTGTTTGCATTTTGTGTACCAACATCACGTCTGTCTGTTTCTCCTCTTATTCTGATTTCATCACCTGTTATTTTTATCCTATCGACGTCTTTTTAAGTTCCTTTCCAGAACAAGGAGAGGAATGAACGATTGATGAAAGTCACCTGGCTGGTGGCAGGGGGTGGGAGGGGTCCACTTTGTGAATGATCCAGGCTGTCTTTTTCCCTAGCCTCTCCCCTCGACCCTCTCTCTGCAGGACCACCCTACTGCCAGGAGCTGGCCAGAGGCAGGGAGAGGGAGGGAACTGAAATCGAGGAGACGGTGCTCTTAGCTTATCTGGCAAAGACTTGGAGAAAGGAGGGGGAGGTTGATAGCAAATCCTAAAATATTAGCCTAGTTTATTTATGGGTTCCATTCCTCCTGGGTAGCCGGGTCCTCATTGTCATAGATACTTGAAGTCAGTTGTTCAAACCCACATCTGAGAATGGTGTGCTGCACAGAGCCACGTGTCCTCTAGCTGGGAAGGGAATTCTCTGCAGCCTAGGAATTCATTAAATGTTCATTCTGTACAGGAACAGCTGACACGGTGCTAGCAAATCTGAGTTCAGGGTAACTGGTCTCATTACTGTGTGATGGAGCTAACGCCGAAAAAGCAGTTTCAGATCAGTGTTTCTCAAGCTTGAGTGTGCTTCAGAGTCTCCCACAGAGCTTGTGAAAGCACAGGTCTCTGGGCCCCAGCCCAGTTTCTGACCTAGCAGGTCTGGGATGGGACCCCAGAGTCTGCATTCCTTCTAAGTTCCCAGGTGATGCTGGTCCCGGCCCCACCCTTTGAGAGCCACTGGCTAAAATGATCAGGTTACGCTTTAGAATAAGGTTTCAGCCCGTCCTTGCAGACTTCGCTTAGGGTCTCGGAGTTCATGTGTATACTAGAAGGGCCTCTCAATGGTAGCCAGAAAGTAAGACATTTAAGAAGAAATCCTAAATCCAGAGTCAGTTGGTTCTCTTTAAACACAGAGACAGTTCTAGTTTGAAAAAAAGTCTAGCTGATCAGTCGTGCTTGGCCCTCTTATTTGCTCTTGAATGTCAAGTTCACGGCAGGAAGCATTTCTCACAAGGGCAGGATGGTGGGGCAGGTCCTGGTCAGAAGGCCCGGTCTGCGTCCTCAGCTCACCCTCCTGTGGGGAACCCGATATCCTGTCCCTTGGGGCGAGAGCGGTGGGGTCACTGTGGGAAGAACAGTGACCCCAGAACACACTGAGTGCCCAGGCTCTGTACTTGTGGGCTGCTTCCTGATAAATGCTTGTTCCACTGAAAATTTTCCAGGAACCAAACAAAAGCAGCGCTCTCTGGTCCTTTCCTCTTGAATCAGCCCAGGCTATGTAAACTCCCCAGGGTCCTGTCTCCAGACACCTTCTGTAAGGGACTGACATAGCCTGGGAATTTTAATGTGGTCATTAGCAGAAACACTTTTCACCTCTTCACTGAGACCTGGAGTGAAATAGAGAACATTGAACTCAGAGAAACCTTAGATCGGCATTTTTAAAAATATTTGTTTTCTTTTCCAATTACAAAAATAAAACATGTCTATAAAAGGCCTTTTAAAAAAAGTTTAGAGTGAATAAAGCTGTCTAGCAATTAAAGTTGTCTAGCAAAACGAACTTTTTAAAAAAATGTTTGATGCTTGCCTTTCAATTTTTCCTAAACATTTACAAAGATATACATATGTATACAGAGAAATTTTGAACCAAATGGGATCAATCATAATATACCCACTATTTGCAAATCTTTGTTCCCCTACTTAATTTCTTCCATGTCAGTACGTATAATTCTGCCGAATCCTTTTTGATGGCTACATGGTTTTCCATTGTATGGAAATTTATTTCATTATTTTATTTAGCCAGTTCTATACTGGATATTTAAGTTAATGAATATCTTGTTCCTAAATCTTGTATTTGTACAGTTCTTTCTCAGGTAGAAATTCCTTAGAAGTGGAATGAGTGAAATAGAGAATATGTGCAACTGTCTATGGATGTATGTAAGGAATATGCGTAACTAATAGCTATGATAGCATTACCCTGTATTAAATAGTTTTTTTTTTAAAGATTGGCACCTGAGCTAACAGCTGTTGCCAATCTTCTTTTTTTTTTTCTGCTTTTTCTCCCCAAATCCCCCCAGTACATAGTTGTATACTTTAGTTGTAGGTCCCTCCAGTTGTGCTGTGTGGGACGCCACCTCAACGTGGCCTGACGAGCGGTGCCATGTCCGCAGCCAGGATTCAAACCAGCAAAACCCTGGACCGCCGAAGCAGAGCGCACAAACTTAACCTCTTGGCTACCGGGCCAGCCCCTAAATAGTGTATTAATATAATACACCATGACCAAGTTGTATTCATGACAGAAATACAAGGATAGTTTGATTTAGACAGTCTGTTAAAATAGCATACCATGTTAATTGATCAAAGGAGAAAAACCATTCAATCGTCTGTGTCCTTAGACATTAGAAATGTATTTGGTAAAAGTAATCAATCCTTTTTTTTTTAGATTTTATTTTTTACTTTTCCTTCTTCTCCCCAAAGCCCCACAGGACATAGTTGTATATTTTAGTTGTGGGTCCTTCTAGTTGTGGTATGTGGGACACTGCCTCAGCATGGTGCAAGGAGCGGTGGTAGGTCCGCGCCTGGGATCAGAACCGGTGACACCCTGGGCCGCCGAAGCAGAGCGCATAAACTTAACCACTCAGCTTTGGGGCCAGCCCCAAAAGTAATCAATTCTTGATGAAAAATCCTTACAACAGGAGACCCTTAGTAAAACCCTAAAAAGTAAGGAAGTCTCTGCTTGTATCCCGAAGTCAGCTAGGTTCATGCTCAGTGATGAATAGTTGGGAACATTTCTGGTAAAGTCAGGAAATAAGCAAAGATGCCTGCTAGCACTTCAGAAGCGCTGCCAACAGAGACAAGACTGAGATAGAGTGGACAGGAGGAGGTGGCAAATGACCCTATTTACAGATGATGTGGTATTGTAAAGAGCCTGAAACTAAAGAGCCGTTGAAAATAAGACAATTCAGGGACCGGCCTGGTGGTGTAGTGGTTAAGTTCATGCTTTGGCAGCCTGGGATTCACAGGTTCGGATCCGATCTGCAGACCTAGCACCACTCATCAAGCCACACTGTGGCGGCATCCCACATAAAATAGAGGAAGACTATTATTAGTCTTAGGAAGATTATTATTAGCTCAGCAACTATCTTCCTCACACACACACACACACACACACACAAGACAATTCAGTAAGATGGCTGTTTACATTATTAAGAGTAATTAGTATTGATTGGGGCTCTTCCCTCATACCAGTAACTTGAAAGCACTTTAGATAATGTGTTCCCTGTGGATTATCTCATGTGATCTTTTTCCAAGCCTAAGAGTTAGGAACCATTTTTAACTCCATTTTACAGATGAAGAAGCTGAGACTTAGAGAAGTTCAGTCATTGGGCCACTGTCCTGTACAAGAAAGTGGCTGGGCTGGCATTCATCTCAGTCTGTCTGCCCTTGTCCAAGGCTGTACTGTAACTGCCGTGCCCCCAGATAGTTGTGTGGCCTTGGGCAGGTCGGTTCAGCTCTGGGGGCCATCGTTTCATCACCTCTGAATGTGATGTGGTTAGTTAGATGGTCTCAGGATCCCTGAGTGTGTGCATGTGTGTGTGGGCCAGGGCAGGAGTGTGTGCGGTAACCAGACGTGTTTACCTTCCGGGGGAACCTTGGAGCCCGTTTGTGCCTGGTGGGGTCCCTTCCTCTCGCCTCAGCTCTCTGTCCTCATCATATTCACGTGTCTCTGCTGGGATTGTTGAAAGAGAACAGTGCGGGTTTCCCCATTTCTTTTCCTTTGTTTATTGAGTTTATAACTAACTCACTCTGAGGTGCCTTAGCAACAGGGCTGGATACAAATGCTGCATTTAGCCTTTCATTTGAGTCCCCTTCCTGGAGGCTCAGAGGTAATGTCAGGGGCACTCTGCTAGACTGCCCCTCTGCCCTGGGACAGAGCTGGACCACGTGGACCAGAGGCCATAGGAACCTGGGAGGTAAACCCAGCCACTGTGTCTCCGGAGGCTGTAAGCACAGAATAAACACTTAAACCTTTCTCTTTCTTCTCTGTTGCCCCTGTGGTAACTAGAAACCTGAGCTGCAGCACACTGAGGCCCACCTTCTTACCGTAAGTTGCTCTCCTTTGGGGTTCCACTGTGCTAACGGTGGCTTCTGTGTCCCTCTCCAGGTACGGAGAGAAGGGGAAAGCCATCCGGATCGAGAAGGTCATCTACACCGGGAAGGAGGGGAAGAGCTCTCGTGGCTGCCCCATCGCCAAGTGGGTGAGTGTCAAGACCCCGCAGCTGAGGCTGTGCCTCAGTCTCCCCTGCAGGCCAGGTCAGGCTGTGTGGAGGAAACATGTGTTTACTGTGCAGGGGAACTGCAGAGCCGGCATCTGGTGCTTGGTTAGGGCCATTTCCCCCCGGTCTCAGCCCCCTTTGTCCTCATTTTGTTTAAATGCCAGCTCCTGGTGTCCTGGGCTGACCTCAGAACTGCTCTGGTCATTATGCTCAACTCACAGTGTCCCCGTGGTTCAGGGCTGAGGCTGCAGATGTTGTCTCACCAAGGCTGGGCCCCTGCTGGGGACCGTTTGACTCCCCTGCCCCTCCGTGTGCTCTGGAGCTGCCGGTGTTCCCGTCTCCTGTCTGGAGGAGGCGAGGCCCCGGGCAGGGTCGGGGACAGACTTGCATCCGCTTCACTTCTGAACTGCTGTTTCCCTGGAGGCAGCCTGAGTGTCTCCGCAGGAGGAACGTCGATGACTCAGACCCCAGTTTCACCCGAACTTTCCTGACCTCCCCTTAAGTCCTCAGAGAGACGGTTAGGACCACTGCAGGCTCAGTGCTCAGGAGAGCAGGGTCGTCGGGCAGCTGTGAGCTCCGTGCTGTGCAGGGGGCTTGGTAGGGGGAGCAGGCGTGGAAGATGGAAGGCTCTGTCCCCGTGTTCCAGCTGCTTGTGGTACCCTAGAGACACATAAAGTCACGGAGACCCGAAAAATCGAGGGTTAACTTCGAGAGGCAGACTTGGTGTTGTAGAGTTCAGGGGCAGGGGACATGCGTGGCAGGAAGAACATCAGGCTGCGTTTCCCAGAGAAGGTGGACACACGTGGGGCCGTGAATATGGGGCCGTATCAAAGGGGCTGAGGAGAGGGTAGAAGCACTGCTGGTGAGGAGGGCCGCGTGAGCAAAGGCACAAAGGCTGTGAACGGATGCGTGGCTGCTTTGAGCGAGGCAAGGTGGCGAGATGACCTTTGTGAGCCTGTGTCCATCTGTGCACGTCCCTCTTCTTATCTGGTATATACCCCCATGCCTTTGCACCTTGGTTTTTACTGAAATAAAATGTATCTGAACCTGAACTACCACATACATATTTGTAGCAATTTTCAGTTGGTATTGCAGAATTATAAACAACAAAGGAATCCGGAACTACTTAGAGCCATCACAGGTGTGAAGAAGCACGTTGTCCCTGCCCTCGTGCAAGATGGTCATTGCAGCGGGAGGTGGACTGATCAGGGTCGGGTGTTATCCACCCAGAGAACCCATCAGGGAAATGGCGTCTGCCCCTTTCTCCTGCTAATTCATGCGGTTGTCAAGGAATTCCAAAACCTTGGGCAGGAATCTTAAGATCCTTGGGGCACAGGTAGAGTGAGGGACTTTTGCAGCTTCAGAAACAGTTGGCACTTTAAGGAAAGAAAACAGCTGGCTGGGGCCAGCCCAGTGACACAGTGGTTAAGTGCACACGTTCCGCTTCTCGGCGGCCTGGGGTTCGCCGGTTCGGATCCAGGTGCAGACATGGCACCGCTTGGCACGCCATGCTGTGGCAGGCATCCCACATATAAAGTAGAGGAAGATGGGCACAGATGTTAGCTCAGGGCCAGTCTTCCTCAGCAAAAAGAGGAGGATTGGCAGTAGTTAGCTCAGGGCTAATCTTCCTCAAAAAAAAAAAAAAAAAGAAAAAGAAAACAGCTAGCTATGGGGGTGGCATTGAAGAAGAGAATATGCATTTCCAGCCCCTGGATGCCTGTGGTGAAGGGTTAACTCTTGCCAGCGCTTGCTTGTGTGGCTCTGCTGAGGACTGAGGAGGGAGGCGCCCAGGTAAAGTGTGAGATCTCCTGGGACTGTGGCAGGAAGGCAGAATGATGGGGGGCAGGAACTCAGTCCTCAGAACGTTGGTCGCCCGGGGTCTGTGGACGGATGCCCAGAGCAGAGCACATGTAGCACAGTGAACTTGAAGTTTTGTCCAAAAGGTGGAACAGCTTGTGGGCATCATGGGATCTGGTGTGTGATGCCGCCTTTGAAAGAAAAGCCCAGGTAGAGGGAAATGCATAGCGACAGTGTTCCCAGGTGTTGAGAAATTCCTGTATCTGATGCACAAAGGAAAAAGGAGAGAGGAAAGAGTTTCTTATGAGAAGAGCAAGTGATGGTAAATCATAGAACTATCACAGTGGCAAGAAAATGACAGTGCTGAGTTATGTTTTTTGTTCTTTTCTATCCATCTCCCTTAGTGTCATGCACCACTCCTATTTTTTGCTAACACAGACGCCAAATACCCCAGTATTTTTGTGGTAGGGCTCATCTGAAGAGTTCCACCTCCTTGGCAGTTGGAGAGGGGCAGGTGTTCCCTTTCCTTGGGGAAGTGACCCACAAACGCCAAGGACAGGTTATTCTTGGTGGCAGCATGGCGTCAAGGGCCCAGGCGGTGGTCTGTGGCCATGGGCAGGTGGCAGCATCCAGCTGTCCGTGGTGGGCGGTGCCTCTTGTGCTTCTCCCTGCCCCCTCGTCCCATGTCCAGAGCCAGGGTTTTCTTCCAACCAGGGTTCATGTCTGTGTTTGCAACCTGAACACCCAACCAGTACCTTCAACTAAAAGCAGTGCTCCTGACAGGTTCTAGATGTAAATGGCCAGGATCTTGAGAGGCAAAGTCGAGGTGCATCATGGGTTCCCAGCAAATGTGTGTTAAGAAAATGATGTGAGAAAGCAGTGGGACGACCCAGAGAGCCCGCTGGTGATCTCTGATTTTAAGGTGTCCTGTACGAAGTATGGGAGTCACCAAGCATGGGAGTAAGAGCGTGACCTAGGTAGCATTTTGAAGGTTCAGAATAAACAGAGGCATGTCAGAAGCAAATGCCACGGACAGCAGAAATGGGCTTTTGGTAAAAGAACCTCAGAGATGCTGCTTGGGCCCGTCTGTAAGGGTCACAGAGGTCAGAAGGCAGGTATTTGGAGGCCCGTCAGGAGCTTGGTGGAGTGGACTTCTGGGAAGATCCCAGGGGTGGAACTAAGTACCAACGTTGGAGTGATGAGAGGACACATGTGAGTTTCTGCGGGTGCTGTGCTCAGGGTCTTCCTGCCCAGAATCTGGGTGAGAGGTGTGTGATTCTGGGATGGCACATGCACCATCTGTGTCACCATGCTCAGTTGTTGGTTTGTTTGTGCCATCTGTTGACCTTTGACTTTTGCCCCTTGTGCATGTCATCCTGCTGGGTTCCTTTGTAGAGTGTGGGTCGGGAGCTCCGCTTGGTTTTCTTACAGTTTTTCTGAGTGTACCCACAGGCCTGGGAGGGTGTGGCCACAGAGGACTGTCTCCTTGTGCCTGGTCACGTTTATGTGTTTGCCACTCAGAAAACAAAAAGGACGTGGCCTCAGTCTCAGCTTTGACAGGTCAAGTGTCTCCCCGTGTGCTCTGAACACATGTAGCACATGAGTGCTATTAGCTGGTCGCTGCCCCGGGCACTGAGTGGAGGTTGACAATAGTGCCTCAGAAACCCTAGTCACAGGGACCGCTGTGTTTGTTATCAGTACCTACCAGGTATGCAGATGCCCTGCTCAGTCTGTGGGAGGCCGGGCAGTCATACAGGGAGTTATAACACCGCAGATGATTCAAGGGCATATTCATGTGTTACTGCTCCCAGAAGACAGTTTTTAAAATAATGATGTGATTGATGCTTCCATGGTGGGATACCATTATGGCTGTGACTCAAGCAGGAAGCCATCACCCAGAGATGTGTTTTGTTAAGCATGCAAGGTGTCCTTTAAGGAAACTCTGACACATGCTACAACATAGATAAACCTTTAGGACACTATGCTGAGTAGAATAAGCCAGTCACAAAAGGACAAATACTGTGTGACTCCTCTTATATGAGGTACCTAGAGCGGTCAGATTCATAGAGTCAAAAAGTTGAATGGTTTTCACCATGGGCTGGGGTCGGGGGAGAAGGGAGAGTTAGCGTTAAACGGGTACGGAGTTTCTGTTTGGGAAGAAAGAAAGTTCTGGAGATGCAAAAGGTGCTGTTGATAGTTGCATATCAGTGTGAATGTACTTAATGTTACTGAAAGGTACACTTAAAAATGGCTAAGATGGCAAATTTTATGTTACGTATATTTTGCCACAATTTTAAAAAACTGAATCTGGTGCTCACATCTTTAAAAGGAGAGATTTCACGTAAAAATCTGGATTCCTGTTTTCTTCTTGTAAAATTGAAAGAGGTGGTGCTGGCGTTCCCACCAGGTGGTGGTTGATGGGAAGGCCGAGCCTCCCCCTTTGGAAGGGCAGATGCTTTTGCACTTTGCCACGGTCCACGCCACTCCCTAGTGGCACCAGACCTAGTGGCACCAGACCTAGTAGTCTGGCCCCTTTCCCTCTTTATATTACCTGCTGACTGCCTCTTTCGACGTCTCCCTGCCCTGACATACTCGTGACCAAGTTTTCCTCAGCCCCATCCTATTGGGACCTACTGGAAATAGCCACTCAGGTGTTGCAAAGTACCTCAACCTCAGCACGTCCCCAGTCAACTCGCCAGTGAGCAGCAACACCCACACCCACCCACTCTCCTGCGCTTCAGAATGTAGAAGTCTTGTGAGACTTTTTTCCCTGTCCCTCAGCCCCTAAAGTCAGGTCGTCCCAAAGTCACCTTTCTCCTGAATGTCTCTGGAATCCATTCCTTTTCCTGTTTCCTTCCCCACTGCCCTGGTTCAGGACTTTATCGGCTTTTGCTTGGGTTACGTCGGTGGTCTTCCAACTGGTCTCCTCGTCTTCCCCTCTGCCACCCGTCTGCCCCCCTCTGTAAAGCATGCAGCTGTGTACAGAAGTAAGCCCCCTTCTTGTGGTCCTTTAGGGAGCCCTTGCCTCGAGTCCTTCTCCCTCAGCCCTCCACTCAAGGCCCTTTCCAATCTGCCCTCATGCCTCCCCTCTTCACAGGCCCCCACATCTTCCCTGGTCACAGAATTGCTTGGGATTCTTTGGGCAGATTCAGCCACCTTATTCCCCAGCTCCCAGGACCCTTTGCCTTGACGTGTCTTTTTGTGAGCCAGGATGCTGTCTAGGGAGTGAGTGAAGAGTGAGGTGAGAACCTGGATGAGGGCATGGCCAGATCCTCTGGAGAAGAGCAGTGCCAAGGCCTTTGCTTTTTTTTTTTTTTTTTTTTTTTTAACAGCCTTATTGAGAGAGAATTCACATACCATACAATTCATGCTTTTTTTGAAGAAGATTAGCCATGAGCTAACGTCCGTGCCCATCTTCCTCTACTTTATGTGGGACTCCTGCCACAGCATGGCTTGACAAGTGGTGCATAGGTCTGCACTGGGGATCCAAACCCATGAACCCCGGGCTGCTGAAATGGAGCACACGAACCTAACCACTGCACCACCGGGCTGGCCCAAACTCATCCTTTTGATCTATACAATTCAATGGTTTTTGGTAGATTACATTATTAATTTTTAAAAATTGTTGGGCCCAGCACCATGGCTGAGTGGTTAAAGTTCTGCATGCTCTGCCTCCGTGTCCCAGGTTCGCAGGTTTGGATCCCAGGTGCAGACCTGCTCCACTCACCAGCCAGGCTGTGGAGGTGTCCCACATATGAAAAAACAGAGGAGGGTTGGCACAGATGTTAGCTCAGGGCTAATCTTCCTCAAGCAAAAAGAAGAGGAGGATTGGCAGTGGATGTTAGCTCAGGGCAGATCTTCCTCAGGAAAATAAATAAATAAAAATAAAAATTGTAAAAGTATACAAAACATAAAATTTGTCATTTTAACCTTTTCTTTCTTTTTAAAAGATTGACACCTGAGCTAACATCTGTTGTCTTTTTTTTTTTTTTTTCTCTTCTTCTTCTCCCCAAAGCCCTCCAGTACATAGTTGTATATTCTAGTTGTAGGTCCTTCTGGTTCTGCTGTGTGGGACACCACCTCAGCATGGCTTGATGGGTGGTGCTAGATCCACGCCCAGGATGCAAACCAGCAAAACCCTGGGCTGATGAAAGGGAGCCTGCGAACTTAACCACTGGGCCATGGGGCCAACCCCATTTTAACCACTTTTAAGTATACCGTTCAGTGATATCAGCTACATTCACATTGTTATACAACAGTCGCCACAATCTATTTCCAAAACTTTTTGACCCCGTACTGAAACTCTATGCCCGTTAAACAGTAACTCCCTGTCCTCCCCTCCCCCCAGCCCCTCGTAACCACTGTTCTACTTTCTGTCTCTATGAATTTGCCTATTCTAGATACCGCATGTAAATGGAATCCTACGATATTTGTTATTTTGTGCCTGGCTTATTTCACGTAGCGTAATGTTCTCAAGGTTCATCCACGTTGTAGCATGAGTCAGACTTTCCTTTCTTTTTAAGGTTGAATAATATTCCATCGTATGGCTATGCCATAGTGTGTTTATCCACGCCTCCATTGATGGACGCTTGGGTGGTTCCTACCTTTTGACCGTTACATAATGCTGCCCTGAACGCGGGGGTGCTGGTATCGGTCCAAGTCCCCACTTTCACTTCCCTTGGGTGTATTCCTAGGAGTGGCATCGCCTGGTCATATGGTACTTATATGTTTAGCTTCTTGAGGAACTGCCGAAAACTGTTTTCCACAGCACCAAGGCCCTTGCGTTTTAACTAAAAACATATGGGTAGGGGGCATTTTCTCTGCAGGTGTTTTAGGACGAAATGAAAAACTCTGCATATATTTTGGCTTACAATTTCATTTATGTATTTTTACTCCTAAGTCTATATAAATCATCAATAACTTAAATCTTGTGATTATTTTTTATTTTGCTCTTAAAAAAAATAACGTTTGTGTTTTTCATTCCGTAATTATGACGGTCTTTTAGCCTATGTGGTTGCGGACAGCAGGGTGTGACCCCAGGGACACTGCCCTGAAGACCTGCACCCCCAGATCTAGTTGGCAGGGGAGCGTGGGTGCCTGGCTCCCACGGTTAATGGTGTCCGCCCTGCCCCGCCCCGCATCCCCGCAGGTGATCCGCAGGCACACGCTGGAGGAGAAGCTGCTCTGCCTGGTGCGGCACCGGGCGGGCCACCACTGCCAGAACGCCGTGATCGTCATCCTCATCCTGGCCTGGGAGGGCATCCCCCGCAGCCTCGGAGACACCCTCTACCAGGAGCTCACCGACACCCTCCGGAAGTACGGGAACCCCACCAGCCGGAGATGTGGCCTCAATGATGAGTACGTGGGTGGAGTCCCAGCAGGCAGGGTCGGGGCAGCCGGGCCAGGGTTCATCAGCAGGGCTCCAGATGGCAGATGCAGGGGACTCTGTGCAGCCCTGGGAGAGCTCTGGCCCCATCCAGGGCCCTGTTAGTCCTGCAGAGTTAGGACTGTGGTGGAAACAGTGCTTAACCCCAGGTCCCATCCTGGGCTCTGGTCCTGGAGCAGAGGACTCGGCCCAGCTTTGCTTTGTGCCCCAGATTGACTCTGAGGCTCTGATGATGGTAACAGGTGTGAACAAGTGTGAGTGCCCCACTAACATAAGGCATCGATGGTATGCACGAAACCTACCCTTATAGGGTTTGTCCCACTTTTTAAATTAAGGTGTATTTACCTACAGTACAATTCATCCTTTTAAGTATACAATTGGAAGAGTTTTGACAAGTGTTTACAGTCTTATAGCCACGACCACCACAATAAGATACAGAACACTTCCATCTCCCCTAAAAGTTCCTGTGCCCCTTTATAGGCAGGCCCTTCCCCCACCCCGGTGACCACCAGTCTTGTTTCCTTCCCTGTGGGTTTGCCTTTGCAAGAATGTCATATAAACGCAGCCATGCAGGGCGTGGCCTTTTGAGACTTCCTTCTTTCCCTGAGCACAGTGTTTCTGAGCTTTGTCTCTGGATGCGTATCAGCCGTTCCTTCCTTTTTACTGCTGAGTCGTAGTCCACTGTGTGGGTGCATCACGATTTGTTAGCCATTGCCCCACTGAGGGGCATCTGGGTTGTTTCCAGGTTTTATTAAGCGTTGAATTGTAAGGTCAGTGTTTATTTGTTTAAAGGCTTGTCAGCATCTGGGCCTGCAGGAAGCAGGCATGCTCAAACCCTGTGGATCACGTTATTCCTCTATGTGTGTGGTCTGTGTTGGATCTGGTACAGATATTAGAGTTAAGAAAAAATATAAACCTTATTGAGTTTTTATCTAGATTCCTCCCACTCATCTCGAGCAACCCCTGTGCTTCTCCCAACAACAGACTCTCAGACCTTCAGGCTGAGGGGTGGGAGCAGAACAGACAGCTCAGAGCTGGCTCTTTACCCAAGGAAGTTTGGGAAAGGAATAGAGATGCTGGGGAAGGATGTGGTCTCAGTCACTGGGAGGCCAGTGGATGCCGGGCTTTAACTGGGCTGCCCCCTGAGGGAGAGAAGGAAGATTCTGGAACAAAAAACCCAGCTGTGTGCCTAACATGCGATGTGTGTTGCAGCCGGACCTGCGCTTGCCAAGGCAAAGACCCCAACACCTGCGGTGCCTCCTTCTCCTTTGGCTGTTCCTGGAGCATGTACTTCAACGGCTGCAAATACGCTCGGAGCAAGACGCCTCGCAAGTTCCGCCTCGCGGGGGACAACCCCAAAGAGGTGAGCAGAGCTCCACAGGGAACAATGGGACCTTCCCACGTATCTTTAATCGTCCGAGTGGGAGGCAGGATTAGCACGCCGTGACTCAGATGTGCAGAAAATGAAACTTGCTTCATTTTTTTAAAAACTGGCCGTATCTTGCTATGAAACAAAGTATGTGGGGTATGTTGTGTAGGGGTGCAGGGCGTGAAAAGTTAGACTTACCAGGTACAGGTACCTCACGCCCTTCCAGTTCAAACAGTCTCTTTATGGTAGATATTTATATTCCCCATCAGAATATGACCGTCTTAAATGGTAGTTTCTTCCCTCCATTTTTCCTAAGACATCTTTCTGGGTGTAGGAAGAGGGGCATCTGGGCCCTCGGCCACCTTCTGGGCCAATGCTGGACTTCCCGAGCTGTCCCTTATCCTGCCTGGCTGCTGGGCGGACATCTCTGTGCACTTATCCGTTTATCCAGGCCCTTGCTGTCTCCTTGCTGGGAGCCTGGCCTGGTCCTCGGGCACTGGGCTGGCATCCACACAGTATGGCCTCTAGGCCTGAGGCCTCCTCTCTGCAGCCTCCTGTTCATGCCTGTGCTCAAGGCCTGCTGGGAGCCCCCACAGCCCTACGTGCTCCCCTCAGAGGGCCAGAGAGAGGCTCTGGAGACCTGAAACTCTGCCAGGTGTAGGGCTGCTGCTTCGGCTAGGGCAGCACTCTGCCATGGAACTTTCTGTGATGATGGAAATGTTCTCCGTAGAGAACGTGCAGCCACAGGAGCCACATATAGCCACTGAGCATTTTAAATGTGGCTAGTGCAACGGAGGGTCTGAATTTTTAATTTTATTTAATTTTAATTAAAACTGATTTATATTTCAGTTGGCACATGTGGCTGTGACTAAGACATGAGATGGTGCGGGGCTAGAGGATAGAGCTTTGAGGTCTGTGTACCTTTCTCATCACAGGCTCTGGGCCTGGCTGGCTGTGGACTTTCTAGCACAGACCGTGACCACCTCCTCTGCCTTTATTTCCCTGACTTAACACCAGAAGAAGGATCCTCACTTTGTTGCTAACGTCTCTACATGCCTACCACACCACCCCTCTGACCTAGAACATTGAGCACTCAAAGCAAGAACATGCTTTATGGGTTCTGAGTGGCACTGGGCTAGAGGCTAGAAGAGCAGTGGCTTAGCGGTCAAGATGACTAGACCTTCAGACTGTAGCTTTTCCTGGTGAGCTTCAGTGTCTCCAGCTTTAAAAAGGACTTGGCACCACACTCCTCCCAGAGAGACTGCTGTAAAAAACACCTGATGACACTTTGCTTCCTACCTTCCTGGTGGCATCCCAATGATAGTTCGTTTCCAGTGGGCAGTTTTCTGGGCAGGGCTGCTCTGGATACGTATGACTGCTCTTCTCTCCGCAGGAAGAAGTGCTCCGGAAGAGTTTCCAGGATCTGGCCACCGAAGTCGCTCCCCTGTACAAGCGGCTGGCGCCCCAGGCCTATCAGAACCAGGTACTTGGTCCTGGGTCTCTCTCTACCCACATGTCATCCACGTGTCTGCCCAGGTTCCGTGAAGGTGGGAAATGGGAGAGTGACCTTTTCTGGGCTCCTTATGGCAAAAGCCCAGCCAGAGAGAGAGCAGTGCTGTAGGTCTTTGATAGACCCGTTTTTCACACCAAGCTGACAGCATCCCAAACCCTCTCTCCTCTAGCCCTCGTCGTCATCCCTTTCCCCTAGTAACCCTCCATCCCGTCTGGTCTGGTTTCCACTGGGGAGGTTCGGGTTTCTCTCCACTGTTACCCCTGCATCTCCCAGACAAGGGGAGGGGGACTTGAGATACCCCGGAAGGAGGTAGTTCCTGCAAGGGCTTCAGCCAGAAAACCGCCTCTCCTGCAGCCCAAGTACAAGGCGGCTGAGGTCCCTAACTGCCCTCCTCCCTCCCTGGAAGACCCGCCCTCCCAGTCCAGAATCAGGGCCGCTCACCTCAGGTCACGTGAGCAGTTCTCCTTGGCCATCCACACAGGTGACCAACGAGGAGATAGCGATCGACTGCCGCCTGGGGCTGAAGGAAGGGCGGCCCTTCTCGGGGGTCACAGCCTGCATGGACTTCTGTGCCCACGCCCACAAGGACCAGCATAACCTCTACAACGGGTGCACAGTGGTAAGGAAGCCTGTGACCTGTCACAGCCCGGCCCGTGGGCCAATCCTGGGAGACTGATCTTTGCAGACAGCTGGGCTCAGAGTAGGGAGGGACCTGGAGATGCGATTCTCAGGACTCTGGGAGGAGCCTGCCCGACTGCCTGCTCCCACCCGCTTCTCTGAGAAATGCCTGGGCCAGATGCATGGACAAGGCTGGCCTTGTTTCCATGTCTTAGGTGGAGGCTGCATGCTTGGGCGTCTGGAGTCGCCATTCTCTAAAGCGTGGTTCCAGGTCTCTGTGGACACTAGGATTTAAATCCAAACAACCTCTGATTCGTTCATTGAGCACATGTTTACTGTGCCCCAGCTGCCACTCCAGTTTCCTGGAAATAAAATGGACTAGGTCCTACCCAAGGATGTGAGATAGTGTCTGTTAGCAATGAAGGCTGTGAGGAAAAGGATAAAGTGATAGCCATTGCTGTCTTAGATGGGGTGGTTAGGGAGGCATCTCTGAGGAGGGGGCGCCTGGGCTGAGATGTGAGTGGAGTGAGAGGATGAGGGCTGAGTGTCTGGGGCTAGAGTGCTTAAGGCAGAAGGACCAGCACAGGCAAAGGCTTGGGGGTGAAATTAGAGGGTGGACCGGGGGCAGGTGGCAGGGAGCCCGGAAGGCCAGGGAGGCTGGTGGGTTGCGCTCTGAGTGTGACGGGAAGCCCTGGGGGCTTTTCACTAGGAGTGGTAAGATCTCATTATAAAGTTAGAAGGCTCTCTTGCTCCTGCAGATGGAGAATAAAGCATGTGGGGAAGGGGCGAGTAGGAGAGAATCAGAGAAGAAGGCCAGGTAGGAGGCTGGGACAGTTGCCCAGGCTAGAAGTGACAGGGCTTTGGCCGGAGTGAGGCCAAGGTACAGGGCAATTGGACAGATTTTGGATGATTTTGAAGGTATAGCTGAGAGGATTTTGCTGAGGAACTGGGTGTAGGATGTGGGAAAAGACTTGAGGACCACTGCAGTTGCTTGAGCAACTGGGCAAGTGTTGTTATTTGCGGAGTTGTGGAATGATGGGAGAAGACCAGTTTTGGGGGGAAGAATCAAGAGCTCTGTTTTGAGATGCCTGCTAAAGGCCGAGGTGGAGATGTGGAGTAGGCAGGGTCTGGAGAGGTGACCTTGGGACTGGGGAGCGTGTAGTTCAGTTAGAGTCCTGAGGCTGGTGCAGTCACCAGGGGAGGGAGTGGAGATGGAGCAGGGAGGAGGTTTGGGCTGGGGCGCAGACACCCCGCAGGGATGATGCCAGCTCTCTTCCTGCTTTTGAACTGGGTCTCGGACAGGTAGGGCTCCCAGTGGAAGAGGCGAGGGCACCGGCACATTCATCTGACAGGGAGCTCCCAGAGGCTGAGGGTGGCTTGTGTGCCTGTGGATGGATAGCCCAATCCCAGGATTTCATTTCTCCACCTTGTCCTCCTTCCCCATGTCCAAGGCTGAGAAGCCAGATAGGGAGGGTCCTGTCTACACTGTACTGTGAGGGTTTCTAGCTGAAATATAGAGGAAGGGCGTGCACTCCAGATTAGGAGAGGGACAGGGAAGGAGGAAGGGGCACTGGGAGACAGGAGAGAGCAAGAGCACAGTGAGGTTATTTGGATCCCAGAGCCTCTAGAGTTTGGAGTGAAAAGAAGTAATATTTTTGGGCCAGTGGTTAAGTTCAGCATGCTCCCCTTCAGCAGCCCGGGCTCGGATCCCGGGTGCAGACCGACACTACTCTGTTATCAGCCAGGTCGTGCTGGCAGCCCACATATTAAAAAAAAATAGAGGAAGATTGGCACAGATGTTAACTCGGGAAATCTTCCTCAGCAAAAAAGAAAAAAAAAGGTAATATTTTTCCAAAATGAATAATATTGTTTTTTCCCAATTAAACAGCTACTCATTATTTTAAAAATGTAAGTGATATAAGAAAGTAAACAGTAAAAATTGCCTGAAATCTCAGAGATAAAGAACGTTAGCACTGTAATGACCATCCGTTCAGACACCTGAATGTGTGTGTACGCGCACCTGTACAGCTACATCAATTTTACACAAATGGGATCACATTACATGTACATGCTGTTCTGTGACCTGCTTTTCTTAACTCAAGGGTACGTGGTGGACAGCTTTCTGTGTCCCTGGATGTCAGTTTCCTTCAGCATGTTCTAAGGTTGTGTGTGTATGGCTCTGCCATCGTTTATTTGACCAATCCCCTATGGATGGATGGTCAGTGCTTCAGATTTCCCCTCTATAAACCACAGGGAGGGGCCGTCCTGATCACTTCTTTGTGTAGTGGTGTAGTAATCTCCTTGAGGTCCCAGGATAAGGACATTTACGGGCTTTGAATGCTTATTCTCTGACTGACTTGACAGCACAAGGTTTTCTCGATCTTTTTAGTCTTTGCCTGCCTGAGTGGCAAACATATGATCTCATTTTAATTTGTGTTTCTTGTGTTATTTGAGAGGTTGAACATGTTTTCCTATTTTTCTTGCCCATTTTAATTTCATCTTTGTGACTATCCTATTTATGTCCTTATTATTATTATTATTATTTTAACTGTGGTAGCCGTATCTGTTGACATTTGTAAGGTATCTCTATATGTTAGTGGTAGAAACACAGCACCTGTCCTATCATCCTTTGCCTTTTTCCTTTGCTCTGTCGTGTGTGACACTGGGTTTTAGAGAATGGTAGGAAGCAGGGCTGGTGGTCAGTCCAACCCAGAAGGTATGCAGGGGTCCAGTCAGAGCAGAGTAAGTCTGAAGACCCACACAAACTCTGGAAGCAGCGCATTTGGAACAGCTTGACACCGGTGGAGAAACCGTAGATGAAAGGATGAATACAGTTGACCGCATAAAAATGTAGTTTCTGTTCAGTAATAAAACACCGTGGTCAAAATTGAAAAGCCAATATGAACTGGAAAACAGTATTTGTAACAAGTGACAAAGGGAATGATAACCTTCATATGCAAAGATTACTTTATATAATTGATAACAAAATGAATGATCTAGTATAAAAATGGGCAAAAGAAATAAAACTCCCAAAAAAGGGAAGATAATTAGAGAGTTGTGTTAAAATGTACCTGGGGTTTGTTTTAATCAGGTATGATAAGACAGGCAGACGCAGAAACAATTGTCATGAAGGAAAAAGTTTGTACTCACAGAGCCCTAGAAACGGGACATGGCACATGGCATGCTATGCAGGGCCACATGGCGAAGCCCCAGGGTCACTCAGGAGGCAGAGGTGGGGAGAGAGGGGAGAGCGTGGCCCGGAGCCTTCATTGGGGTTTTCCTGGGAAGGAATGGGTGAGGCAGGGTAAGTAAACTGAGTAAGCTTAGGAGTGGATAGTTTGAAGAATTTCTGTGGGCTCTGGCTTATAGGGATGGTCCCTCATTGTCTGTACCTGGTCCTGGGGTAGCTTAGGGCAGAAGGAATGTTGGCTTGCTGTGTGAGAGTGTGATAAAGGAGATGGGTGGGGCTGTGGGCTCTGGACTGGTTAGTTTGTATGTCAGAGGTACGCTCATGGGGGAATCATTTGCTCTCTCTGGGACTTAGCCCTCAGAGGTGCAGTCCTACAGGATCAAGGCCCCAAATGCCAGAACACCAAGGATACAGAAAATAAAATATAATCGGTATGAGAGTAGATACTTGAGAGAAAAATGAAACCTCGTTAGTAGTCAGAGAAATGCAAACCAACAACGAGAAACACTTGGATAATGAGCAAAAGGTTTTTAAGAAATTAGTGGCAAAATTATTGGCAAAAATGTAGGAAAAGTGAAACTTGGATTCTGCCAATATGAGTGAAAAACTGATGGTAATCATTTCAGGAGACAGTTTGGCAATATGTGTCAGTTCTGCTTCATAGCATTTATTCTAAGGAATTAAGTATTTTAGAAAATTTAGCTGAAAGGATAGAAGTATTATTTATGATAGGGAAAATTGGAAATAAGTTTAAATAGTAATGAGGGATTAGTTAAATTAACTCACTGATACAGTAGAATATTATGTAGCTCTTAAATCATATTGGAGGAGAATATTTAATGCATAAGGAAATATACTATGTTAAGAAAAAATGAAGTTCTTATAAAACTGTATGCATAATATGATTCTATTTAATTACTAAAAAGTGAATGTGGGGGCCGGCTCAGTGGTGCAGCGGTTAAGTGCGCACGTTCCTCTTTGGCGGCCCGGAGTTCCCCAGTTTGGATCCCGGGTGCGGACATAGCACCACTTGGCAAACCATGCTGTGGTAGGCGTCCCACATATAAAAGTGGAGGAAAATGGGCACAGATGTTAGCTCAGGGCCAGTCTTCCTCAGCAAAAAGAGGAGGATTGGCAGCAGGTGTTAGCTCAGGGCTAATCTTCCTCAAAAAAAAAAAAGTGAGTTTATATGTATGTATGCGTATGTGTATGTGACTCTAAATGTTGGTGCTTTTGTTAGTCTGTGAACCAAGAGGAATGTGCTTTTCCGATACACTAGGAAGTCATAGGGAGCATTAGGGCTGAGCTGATGGCTGGTGTCAGGCCTGTGTGGGGGAAGCGGAGGTCACATATGCAGGATGCTCAGCCCCTCCCTCCCAGTGCTGGGCTCCCCCAACCCTGTGCACCCCCCTCTCTCTGCTTGGGGCAGGTCTGCACCCTGACCAAGGAAGACAATCGCTGTGTGGGCAAGATTCCCGAGGACGAGCAGCTGCACGTGCTCCCCCTGTACAAGATGGCCAACACGGATGAGTTCGGCAGTGAGGAGAACCAGAACGCCAAGGTGGGCAGCGGGGCCATCCAGGTGCTCACCGCCTTCCCCCGCGAGGTCCGGCGCCTGCCTGAGCCTGCGAAATCCTGCCGCCAGCGGCAGCTGGAAGCCAGGAAGGCGGCAGCCGAGAAGAAGAAGATGATTCAGAAGGAGAAGCTGAGCACTCCGGAGAAGATCAAGCAGGAGGCCCTGGAGCTGGCCGGCATCACCACTGACCCAGGTGTGTGGGGAGAGGGTGCCCTCCAGGGGTGGCATTGGCACTGTCGGGTGGAGGCCCTGGACAGCCTCCTCACTGCCCCTCTTCCTGCCTTGAGATAGGACCTCAGACAGAAAAGTCCTGGGGCCTCTCTCAGCCATCTGGACCATCCCATTCTCTTAATTTTGTCCGGGCAATATCTGCAGCAGCCCCAGGACACCACACCTGATGGGAGCACCTGGAGAGCCAAATGCAAGGAGGTCTTCCTACCTTCCCAAAGAGGAGCTGGGTTTCTCCTCTAGCTTCCCCAGCCCCCTCTCTGAGAGTCTGTGGAGAGTACCACGGCTTCAGACACGGGCACTGCAGAGGGGGCGGCAGGGTTTATGGGCGTGGGACGGCTCTCGTTTCTCCCGGCCCTTGTCCCTGCAGTGATCCCCAACTGGGGGAGGTGGCCAGCATGAGGAGGGTGCTTCTATGAGGACTGGTGGAGCTGGCCAGGGTAGGGAGGAAGAGGAGCGACCCAGAGGGGCTGTGGGCTCTGCGAGCTGCTTATCCCAGGGCGTCAGTGGGCTGGGTGTAGCCGAGCAGCGCCTGGAGCAAGTCCAGCCTCATCTGTCTTGCTTGTCCCGCAGAGGAAACATCTTAGGGGAAGAGGAAGGTTCCATCCTCAGTCCTCCTGCCCAGGATCTTTGCTGCCTGTGATTCTCTCTGCTTCTACTCCGTCTTGCCCTCTCTTCTCCCCAGGCCTGTCTCTGAAGGGTGGATTGTCCCAGCAAAGCCTGAAGCCCTCGCTCAAGGTGGAGCCGCAGAACCACTTCAGCTCCTTCAAGTACAGCGGCAACGCGGTGGTGGAGAGCTACTCGGTGCTGGGCAGCTGCCGGCCCTCCGACCCGTACAGCATGAACAGCGTGTACTCCTACCATTCCTACTATGCACAGCCCAGCCTGCCCTCCGTCAATGGCTTCCACTCCAAGTATGCGCTTCCGTCGTTCAGCTACTACGGCTTTCCATCCAGCAACCCCGTCTTTCCCTCACAGTTCCTGGGTCCTGGTGCCTGGGGGCACAGTGGCAGCAGTGGCAGTTTCGAGAAGAAGCCAGACCTCCACGCTCTGCACAACAGCCTGAGCCCAGCCTACGGTGGTGCTGAGTTTGCCGAGCTGCCTGGCCAGGCTGTTCCCACGGACACCCACCACCCCGCTCCTCACCACCAGCAGCCTGCTTATCCAGGCCCCAAGGAGTATCTGCTTCCCAAGGCCCCCCCGATCCACCCAGCGTCCAGGGACCCCTCTCCCTTTGCGCAGAGCTCCAACTGCTACAACAGATCCATCAAGCAAGAGCCAGTAGACCCACTGGTCCAGGCTGAGTCTGTAGCCAGAGAACCTGGTAAGATGGGCAAAGCGCCTTTGCCCGAGGCATCTCAGAATGGGGGACCAAATCACCTATGGGGACAGTACTCAGGAGGCCCAAGCATGTCCCCCAAGAGGACTAACAGTGTGGGTGGCAGCTGGGGTGTGTTCTCTTCTGGGGAGAGCCCTGCCATCATCCCCGAGAAGCTCAGTTCTTTTGGGACCAGCTGCCTGACCTCCTCCCACTTCCCGGATGGCCAGTGGGGACTGTTTCCTGGTGAGGGGCAGCAGCCAGCCCCCCAGCCTGGAGGACGGCCACGAGGCAAACCGTGGAGCCCTTGCAAGTTTGGGAACAGCACTGCGGCCTTGGCGGGGCCCGGCCTGACTGAGAAGCCATGGGGGGTGGGTGCCGGGGATTTCAACTCTGCCCTGAAAGGCGGTCCTGGGTTCCAAGACAAGTTGTGGAGCCCCCTGAAAGGGGAGGAGGGAAGGATTCCAACCCCGGGCGTGAGCCAGCTGGACAAAGCCTGGCAGTCCTTCGGCATGTCCCTGGGCTCCAGCGAGAAGCTGTTTGGGGCCCTGAAGTCCGAGGAGAAGCTGTGGGATCCCTTCAGCCTGGAGGAGGGGCCGGCTGAGGAGCTCCCCAACAAGGGGGCGGTGAAGGAGGACAAGGCTGGCCAGGGCAGTGGCGTCACGGAGGAGGAGGAGGAGGAGCTGTGGTCTGACAGCGAACACAACTTCCTGGATGAGAACATCGGCGGCGTGGCCGTGGCCCCCGCCCACGGCTCCATCCTCATCGAGTGTGCCCGGCGAGAGCTGCATGCCACCACCCCCCTGAAGAAACCCAACCGCTGCCACCCCACCCGCATCTCGCTGGTCTTCTACCAGCACAAGAACCTCAACCAGCCCAATCACGGGCTGGCCCTCTGGGAGGCCAAGATGAAGCAGCTGGCGGAGAGGGCGCGGGCGCGGCAAGAGGAGGCCGCCCGGCTGGGCCTGGGCCAGCAGGAGGCTAAGCTCTATGGGAAGAAGCGCAAATGGGGGGGCGCCATGGTCGCCGAGCCCCAGCATAAGGAGAAGAAGGGGATTGTTCCCACGCGGCAGGCGCTGGCCGTGCCCACAGACTCAGCAGTCACCGTGTCCTCCTACGCCTACACGAAGGTCACTGGCCCCTACAGCCGCTGGATCTAGGTGCCAGGGTGCCAGGGAGCCAGCGTACCTCAGCGTCGGGCCTGGCCCGAGCTGCCTCTGTGGTGCTTTTGCCCTCACACCTGGGGGCGGGTTGGGGGTGCAGAAGTCTTTTTATCTATATATACATATATAGATACGCATATATATGTATTTATGGTCCAAACCTCAGAACTGACCCGCCTCTCCCTTCCCCCCACTTCCCCAGCACTTTGAAGAAGAAACTACGGCTGTCGGGTGATTTTTTCGTGATCTTAATATTTATATCTCCACGTTGTTTTTTTTTTTTTCCTCCCTTGTTTGGGGGGCTTTTATTTTCTCTTGTTTTTAAAACTCTATCCTTGTATATCACAATAATGGAAAGAAAGTTTATAGTGTCCTTTCACAAAGGAGTAGTTTTAAATTCCATTTAAAATGTGTATTTATTGGATTTTTTAAAAGCGACAATAGTAATGGTAAAGGATGGGCAGGAAAGGCCAGAAGCACTCATTCCTGCCCAGTCTTGCTGGGCCCAGCGAGCCTGGCCGTCTCGGGAGCTGACGAGGTTCTCTCAGCCATCTGCCCCTCATGAGCCGAGTCCAGACTGTAGCCACCGGTCCATCCCTCCTGACAGATACACCTTCCCTTCAGGGGAGGGAGCCCTCAGGACAGCTTCTGTCCTCTCTAAGGATGGGGGAACCTGTAGAAAAACATGAGGGGGTCCCTTCTGCAGTCACTGGCTTGGAGTCGGGGAGGGAGGGGCAGGTGCACCCCAGGCCGAGCACCTGAGATGCTGGCGTAGATTTCCCCAGAAACCAGGTTGGAAGTAGACAGCTTCAAGCTTGCTAGTCTCCACACTGAATCCTCTCTGTCCGTTATTTGTCAAGTCACAGGATGTCATGGGTCCCTAGGCAGCACCTCGTGATGGAGCTGGAGTCGAGAGGCTCTTAGGAGCCTTTTCCACCAAGTTGATGAGTCAATGAATACTGGGCTGAAGGAATTTGTCTTAGTGGCAGTTTTTTAAAAAAAATGCTCCAAAGTCTATGCTGATACTGAAAAAGGGCTACTGTATCTTTAAAAACAAGAAGTCAAACCCAAGCTGTGAAAAGCCAGCGTTGCACGCTGTGCAGAGCCTGGTGCTGTAGTATTGTGCTGGGGCTCCCTCGCCTCTGGGGCAGGCCCCGTCCTGCAGGAGCTCAGCACACCAGTGTAACAGCAGTTAACGCATCTCTCCTTATTCCTGGATTTCCACATTGAACAATGGTGCATGCCTCCCCCCTGAGCCCACACCCTCTATGCTATCATCTGGGGAGTGGGCCTACACTTAACAATTTTAAAATGCAAGAGTCAAACGTTTTCAGCAGGTAGCTATGATTTTCCTCCCTAATTGGTGCCATTTCTCTATTTGATCATTTTCTCCTTTCCTTCCTCCCCTCTCCACCCACTTTAACACCCCCATTCCAAAATTCTGGTGCATTCGTTCAGTTCTTTGAAATGAGAATGTGGTGCTTCATTTCTGCGACACTGTCAAGAGAGGTTAGGCCTGACAGGTGGAAGCAACATTCGTCGACAGCAAGTCAGACTTCTTGGAGTGTTTGTTTTTCCTGTGGTATTAGCAGAAATTATATCAAACTACCCATGTGGATGTGTGTGGTGAACGGGAGGCTTTGTCAGGACACACTGAGGGGAATATGGCCACACAGTGAATGACAGCCAAGCCCTGAGATGAACGTCATATATTTATTGAGCAGTTTTATTCAGATTCAGATGTGGGTCTTCATGAAATGAGTTTAACAATCAGATGACGATGCTAGAGGCAAGTTCCTGAGCTTCCAGGTGCCTTGTGTAAGAGCTGAGAGCCGACCCGCTGGGCGTGTACTGTAGCTGACCCAGAGCACTGGCGGAGAGTCGCTGTAAGATGTCCTGAGCATTTATGTGGTCTGGTTTTAACTGTAAATAGTGAAAGATTTTTTTAAGCACTTTTGCCTAGATTTAAACAGCAACTTGAAAAAAAAAAGTATGTTTTAACATGTAATTGTGGGAGAAATTGTAAATAGTAGCTGAATATTTAACATGCTTTGTCTATCCTTCACTTTTACCATATTCTGTAAAGTTGCATTTATTTTACAGGACAAAAATGAAATATTATTGCTTTTGAAATAAATACCCAAGAGCTTATCAGGATTTAGAATTATTCAGAACTCAGATTTATAGGAAAACCTCTGACCTTCAGTTTGACAAGCTAAAGGAAGCAGAGTCTTCAATGAGCATGCTAATTTTCTAGTTTTGAGGAAAAGTTGGGTCCTTTAAATGCTATTTTGCTTATCGCATCAGTACTTTTATGCAGGTCTCATTTGACTCTGTGCTTAGGTAGATGCGGGGGTGCCTTGAAAACTTCATTTTAAATTATCTTAAGCAAGAAATACAATATTTTACAAAACATTTGGAGAATGTGACCGTCTGTATGACCCAGGAAAGCCCCAGGTTGGCTGTTGGTTTGGAAGGTCCCGAGTGTAACCCAGGTGATTCTGATCCTTGGCACGTGTGACCCTTCCTGATGTATGTTAAATATGCTCTTCCCCTCGTCACCCTTTGGTAGCAAAGCCATTAGATGAAAGGAGAAACCAATACAAGCGAAAAGCATGTGATGTCTGTCCCCCCACAGCCCAAACAGCCTTTGGTTCATAAATTTCTAGCTTAGCGAACAGGCTGCTGAGAGGAGAGTCAAGAGGCAGTCTCCATTGGATGTTCCTATCCCCCTCAGAACGGTGTTTCAGAAACTAGGTGGTGCTGGTGCCATGCTCAAGCCCATGCTGATTTTCACACACTACATGTATAACCTACCTCAAATCTCAGTCATTGAAATTAGCATGCTTTAGACATATATTTAAAAAGTAACTATGCACAGCTCTTTATCCCCCCTTGCTGCTGAAGGTTTCTTAAAGAGAAAAATCAAATTTTTATTTTTTACTGGCACTATCATTTTTTAAGTCCTAAAGATGATTAACAGACATTTTTATCATGAGAAGAAAAATAAAGCCATTGCAACTAAAGAACCTAACAGCATGACCAAGATTTAAGAGTAATATTATAGCAACAGGAACCGATGGAGTCTTAAGTCATCTCCTCAGTGCACCCTGTCCACAGACGCCCTCCATGGGCGGTGCAGACGTTTGCTTCCTCTTTTCTGTTTTGTTTTCCCTGCCTTTTGTGTGCAAGGGAAGTGCTTGCAAAGTTCTGTGCTAAGAGATTTTTAAAATAAAAATCGCTTCGCGGCAGGTTCTCACAAAATAACTGGTGCTAGCTCAAGAAACCATTATCTAACCATCAGAAATCTTGACTCAAGGTGTTTCATGGATTTTGAGGTTTGTTGTTGTTGTTGTTTGGTGTGTTGTTTGGCAGGGCCCAAGTTCCCCTCACGCTGGCTCCGTGGGTGCTGCTCTGCCCTCACCGGGATGGCAGTGGTGTGCGTGGAAAGAGAGTGTGCCCTGCCCCCTCTGGGTCCTTCCACCAGCCTCTTTTGGAAACGGTAGTTTACACAGCAAGGGATTTTCAAAGTGCTAAAGCAAGGAAATTGGTAGCAGAGCTTAACTGCTTTGTACCAGACAGTCGTAGGTGCGCGAGGACGGCTGACGATGGGTAGATGGTGACCTGATTTCCCCGAGAGAAGTCCAGCCAGACTTTGTGAAGTTTAACCACCGCCGGATGGCAAACCAAGGCAGTGTTGGTGGGACGTTAAAATGATATCCCTGACGTGCCTCAACCGATCTCTCTCCTTTTGTTACTGAAGTGTGTTCTATGGACTAGGAAGCATTTTTATGAATTGAAATAGTCTAAATAAAATGGTGCTATGGTGTTTTAATGTGACTGTCCGTGATCCTGTCCTGCTGAGGTGCTATCAAGGTTCTGAAACCACAACCAACCAAAAACAAGGTGGGCTCCAGTCTCTCTCGGCTCCCCCCCTCCCCTCCTTTTGGTGCTGTCTCCTTAGACCTCTGTTTACCGTGCTATAACCTGCTCTGAGCAGTTTTTCTTTTGTCTTACTGTTCTTCCTTGGTGGCCAAACACAGAAGGGCAAGTTGCAAAGGCAGCCAGCTCCCTCACTGCAGACGGGGGTGGGCCTGCTCGGCGCAGCAGGTGCTCTGGTCTAGTGTCCTCTCGGGCCTCCTGAGGAAGGGAGGGTGAAGGGCGGTGTTTTGAGGAAGGGGAGTTGGGTGCGCCTGCCTCTTCCAGCATAGGTATCTCCATAGCCAAGGACACACGTTTTCCTCCTGCAGCTCGGGGGGCCAAGTAGACATCTCTGAGGGTCCCAGAGGCACTCTGCATGCCAAGGTGGACCAGATGGCTGGCCTCCCTGACCTGGCACTGGCTAGGGACATGGTGGGCAGGGGGCTCGTTCCTTTGCTCCTCACAGCCTTTGCCCCAGCATTGCTTCTGCCTCTCCCTGGTAACCCCTCCTGTTCAAACGAAAGGAAGGAGCTTTCTTTGCTCACTCGATGCCACTGAGGCTGCTTTTTAGTTGGTGCTATTCTACCTTTCTTCTTGGGTCCACAAAAGTTGACGTCTGAAAAACTCAACAGGAAGCTCCATTTCGTGTCATCCACTGTCACAATAATTTTTTTAAATACCTCAAAAACAAGACATTGTGACAACTTGGGGAAAGTAGATTCCACGAGGGTCTGGTACCTGCAGGTTGTCCCTCTGATGACATACTGGGCCTGGAAGAACCTGGGGTCATTTTATTTTTTCATTCTTCAGCAGTTAAAATGGCAAAATGCCGAAAGGAAGGAGCGTGGTTGACTTTATTGCGTTTCCTTTTTAAGTTTTGCTTTTGAATAAAATGTGAATTTCCTATGCCCATCTCATTGAGCTTTTTCCGTCACTGTTGCTGTCATTTGAAATGACTCCCTCGAAACCTAGTGTCATTAGCCAACTGCATGTGCTGTAGTGCATGGCCAATGTCCACATACCCTGGACCAAAAGGAACATTCTTTGAGGTGCGTGCCCCCAGCATAGGTCATCCAGTCCCACACCCACGCGTGCACAGAGAGCTTTTCCACGGGGGCGGCCCTGGCGTGGTGCCCCCCACCCTTCCTCCCGCAGAGCTGCCCACAAGAGCAAAGCAATAGGCTTCTCCCCTGAGCTGAGACTGCAGCACAGAAACGCCAGGTCTACAGTTGCTTTTTGCCTAGGAATCAGCGAGCGATTTGGCCGACTTCTAGTTTGCTTCTATTCTAATATCAGGGATGCTTTTTGTAGTGGTATTGTGTGCTCTCTCTTCTCGTTTTGACTACCCGTCATTCAGGGATTACTCATCACTATTCACATGGGGATCTAAAAAAGTACTATTTGGCTCATCTGAACATCCAAATTTTCTTGGTTCCAGTACATTTTTTTTTTTCTTTTGAGGGGAAAAAGGAGGAGAAAAACAGGAGTGATGTCATTTCTTTTTCACGTATTCTAATGAAAAAAAAGAAACAAGGGCAGGTCATATTGTGGCATATTAACGCGTTAGACTTAATCTAGAGCCCCTGTCGCTTTTTGATGTGTTTTATTTCTTCTCTCTTTGAATTCCTGTTTGGTTACTTGGCTTCCAATGGAGGTGAACTTAACAACCATACTTGAATATTCCGTCTTGACTTTGTAACTGTGGCTACTTGAAATGAAGTTTATCTGGGGTTGATGGATGAATGGTAGATTTTTGCAATGTCTCAAGGCAATAGGATGTGTATTATTAAACTGTAGATATTCTTAGTACAGTAAATTTATGCCGATAATTTTATTTTGTATAATTTTTACCTTTCTGTTAATATTTTTTCCTCCCACCTGATTGGTTTGCCTCCTGAGCTGCCCTCCTGACCCTCCCTTCTCCCCCAGGGTTTCAGTAAATTTAATTTAGGGTGCCTAGAAATTGCAAGTATGTATCCTCTTTTGATTTGTATTTTATTATAATTTACACAAACAACTGGGTTTGTGAACTGTATTACTCCTGGTATCTTTAAAATATTGTGGGTGTTTTAATAAATTTTATATTTATTTTTTGCACTCAAATTCAGTGTGGGTCCATTTTTTCCCCTCCCTTGAACCAGGCCCAGATTGTGGTATTTAAGGTTCCTTTAATCCCACCCTGCCACTAGGTCGTAGATGCACAAACAAGCCTTCACTAACAGCAATGGAAGAACCTGTCCTTGTCCCCTTCCGCCACCAGCATAAAGTCACAGCGTAAAGCGGGAGACAGAGATGGGCTTTTCTCATTTGTGTTTCTTCTTTTGTTTTTTTTCCCCCCATTTATCTTCTGGTCTCCTTTTTTCATTCAATTTGGAGAAGACCCCCTCTAACCCCACAGATAAAGTTGTTCACTTCCTCCTGTAGTGTTTGCTAAACCATCACTGAATCATGCTGCCTCCTCATGGCCTGAGTACCACGTCCAGTAGGGAGGGCTAAATATGGGACCCTAGATTCTGCTCTCCTTGGGAGAGGAGCTTTCCCATAAAGTCCCATGCCTGGGGCTGCCTCTTTGAATTCAGATCGCCGGTTCTGGTGGTGGCCGATCTTGAAAAGGGAGCTATGAATTGAGGCAAAGAGAAGAGAGAAGGGCAAATGGGAGGGGAAACCGTCCCCTTCTGCTGGAGACATCTGCCTGAAACTGAGTCCGCATCTCTGAGAGACGAGCAACCCGACAGTCCACAAAGTCTTCAGCATCCTTCCTAGGTGATGCCAGCATCCCAAGAGGCCACTAGACAGGAACGCTCCTCTCTGAGGGCATCGGGGGCAATCTCCATTATCATAACAGGTGCCAGGCGACGGGCTCAGAGGTTTTCATCTTCATTTTGTTGTGCTTGCAAAGGAACCCTCTGGAAATGCCTGGGCACACATGGCTATCCGGGGATCCTCATAACACATTTGCATGTTTTACAGAAGTGGGCTCACCCTGTGTTTGGTGACCTGCTGCTTTCCACTGGACATCTTTGAGTGGAAAGAGACCTAGTCCTCTTGCCCAGCTCCCGTCTCACTGACCCCATTTCCAGGGCCTGAGGGGAGGGCTTCAGCGGGGGCTGGCTCACTACTGGGTAACTACAATTATGCCTTCATCTCTTCTCATACAAATTCCATGTTAAATATAGAAAAATTAGAAGACAGAAGTTTTAAAACATTAAATCCCACTACCAGAGAACCACATATTGGTTGCAAACATAGTTTCTGAGTATGTAAATATAACCATATTTGTATGTATATTTTTTAATGGAATAAAACAATAATACAATGTTGTAATCTTTTTTCCCTTATATCTTTAAATATCAGTACATAGAACTGCATCTTTTTAAAGAGCTGCCTAGTATTTCATTGTATAGCTGTAGAAGCATTTAATTAACCATATATTATTATTGAACTCTTAAGATCCCAACTCTTGCAATTATAAATTGAACTAGTCTGAATTTACCTCCATCTAAGTCCCGCCCACTGATTTCTTTCTACTTTAAGAAGCATCCCAATTAATCGCTCTCAGCCGCCTGACTACGTCCTTCCTTCGCTGAACCTCCCGCAACATAGCGCCAGATCCCATCCTGCCCCCACAGGCCTCAGTCTGTTCACACCTAGAGCATCATTCTTTGTACAGGGATCTTTAGAAATGAACTCTTCATTCCCCTGGGCTCTGGCTGACCCAAGGCAAGTCCAGAGACACCAAGGAGTCCCTCAATCTGGACACACCATCCTTATAAGTGCACACCAGGGTTTATTCGCTTCTTAAGCAGCTGAATCATGCTAAGGGCTGTGTAGCTCAGTGGAAAGAACACGGCTCCCTCACTTCCCTATTGTGTGATGTGAGGTGAGCCGTTTCCTCTCCCTATGTCATCTTCTTTGTCTATAAAACGGGCTAATGATACCACGTAAGACTGGTGTAAGGATCAAAAAACTACTCTAGAAATAAAAGTCCCAGACATTTGGGACATGGCAGGTAACAGAAGCTATCATTATTACTTGGCACGTACAAAGCTTTAGGTCACTAAAGAGTGCAAGATGAGTTGTAAACCACATAGTGACTTCTTATGTGAACACTACCAAGCCAGGTCCCCCAACTCTAGCCTTTATGCAATTCTTCTTGTGTTTTTAATTCTACACATGGCCCTTGAAGTTTAGCCATCATAAACAGCCTGTTTAACTCTAGTCCTCTGCCGATTTTCAGTGTCAATGTTGTCAATATTGGTTTACCCTGCCCAGTTGTGCGCACTCGCTCAGCAATCTCAGCACAGGTTCTTCTGCTGGTGCTCTTGTGGACTTAACCTTGGAGAGCTGCTGGTCATCTTTGTGTCTCCCTTTGTACTCGGAGAATAGTGGTCACTCACCATCCTGTAAGAGGAAATAAATCCTTTAATGCCCCTGGAGTTTGCCAGTTCAGCTGAAAATACACTCAGCACTTAGAACCCAGAGCACATTCCCATCAGGGCCACCAGGACACCGCAGGAGACATGATCAAAGCTTTGTCCAAATCCAGCTCCTCCCGACGCCTTCCCCACTCCCACTCCTGGCAGCTTTAGCAGATGCCTGCTCCGCGCCTCTACCAAGAACTCCAACCCCAGGCCTGACAAGCTTGCCCGATTTACCTTACTATGCTTCAAACATCTAATATTTCTGCCTTTTTTCTTCACACTGATCCCTGCTTCTCCGAGCTGATCTGCCCCTTGTTTTCTCTTGAATTGCACCTCGCTTCTCTGGGACAAACCTCATCAATTCTCCTCCTCCTGTGGCTCCTCCCCTCACCAGGCCCCCCTGCCTGCCCTGCTCACCACTTTCTCCCTATCGCTGCCATGTTTCCGCAGGTGTGGACAACCTCCAGGCTTCAACTTCCCCACCACTCTCTTGCCCATCTCCTTGTGTCTCCAGAAAGCGCTGTCCCCTAGGCCAATGATTCTGCCCTCACTGACCTCTCCAAAGCCTTGACTCTGTGGACCCCCCTGGAAACCCCCTATTCCTAGGCTGTACTGCCAGGAGGATTTCATGGTCCCAGGACCCTGAAGCCCTCTGTCCCTCTCATGGAAACTTTGTGCCCTCATGTCCTTTAAACACAGAGGCCCCGAGAGAATCAGTTCCGTGCTCACTATGGCCTATAGGCTTTCCCTCAGAGGCCTCGTTCGGCCACCAGGCCTCAGCTATGACCCCAATGCCCATGATTTCCAAAACGATGTCTAGTCCTGACCTCCCTCATGAGTTCTGGCTGATGGATAGCTCTGGGTGGCTGTTTGGCAGGGCCAGAGTCTTAATACACCTAAAACTGACTTCTCAACTCTCTGCCATATTTTCCTTTGGCTGTTGATAGCCCCATCATTCTCTTGGTCACATCCTGACAACCTGCCAAATCTGGATTTTACCTACTCAGTATCCTCAATCCTGCCCCTCCTTGCCACTATTATTAGCAGCCCATACTGTACAGTTGCACAGGCTGTGTACTGCACAAGTTTGGGGGGCACCATTCAAACAGACTACCATGTGGACCTTGATCACTGGCATGGACTCCTCCCCCCACGGGCAGGGGATGCTGAAAGAGGACCACAGCAGGGCCTTCTAAAGCCGAGGGCCCAGGGTAGAGGCCTCTCATACCTTGGTCTAAAAATGAGACCTTTCAAAAAGATTAAGTGACTTGCCTGAGACCGCCAAGCTAGGAAGCGACAGAATCCAGACGACTCAAACCCAGGTGTGTCTGACACTAAAGCCTGTGCCCTGTCCAAATATACTCCTACTTCCTCTGCATTTATGAGCCATGTACCCAAGGGATGCACATTGCTCTCGCTGGCAGGAATCTGCCCACACGCAGAGCTTGCGGCATGGCAGGCAGCCTGGGGGTCTACAGGCGAGAGGCACAGGCTGCAACAAGGCGGCTCAGTGAGAAGACTTGTGCTCTTTAGAGCTTTTTCAACAGTATCCATATTTGAAAGGTTGCATCCTAGCCCCCATTTCATCTCTCTGCCCACCACCCCAAAGCCGACCTGGTGACCCAGCTGACCTTCCTGGAAACCAAATCAGATCATGCTATTTCCCTGTGATGCTCCCCAGTGCTCCCCATATGGTCCAGTTCTCAGGATCAACTACGACATCCTAACTTTGTCAGAGGGCCTGGCGGGACCTGGCCCCAGCTCGCAGCTCTGGTACTGCTGCAGGCCGCTCAGTGTCTTTGTCTGCTTGTCTCCTCAGTGCCCCCCCAACACCCATGCCCCAAAGTGGCTTCTCAAAAACGAAGGGCTTCCAGCCTGATGGTAGTGCAAGTAATACCACCAAAAACTCATCCTCTTCAAATCCATTAAAATATTTACATAAACTATAAAACGGCTCCAAATAAATGATTAGTAAGAATAAAAAATCAGCAAGATTTGGATCAAGGAAGGAGGAATAAACAGGAAGCCAAGCTATGTGAAACCAAAGAAAAACTTCTACTGTACAAAGAACAACAAACATTAAGACTTCAGAGACTAGCAGCCAGTCCTTTGCAAGGAATATAAGAGGTCAGACAGTGATTGCAACCTATTTTCACAAAGATTTTTAAAAATCTCACCTACTCAACAAAAGCAAGATTACTAGATAACAGGCCAAGTAGTATCTGCTCCAAAAGCACGGTTGACGTGCAGAGGACAGAATCACCTGAGCAGGTCAGGAAACAGCTTCTTAACATGAAAGAATGGCTAGGGAGCTGCGAAAGGCCATAAAAGGGAATAGAGCCCTGAAATGCCTCTTGAGAATGCTGGGAATTCCCTGCAAAGAACACAGAATAAAGAGTTCTGAATCAAGAATGAAAGGCCTACGGGAAGAAAAAGGTTCTGAATGAGGTCAGATGAGAACAGACGCCTCCCAGGCATGGCAGGTGTGGCTCATTCCACCCTAAAGTGAGTCCTGGAAATTAACTTCTTCCTAACCGGCTGCGGAGGCGTCTCTGCAAAGACATCTTGACTCTTCAGCCATGTCCTCATTGGGAACCCTGAGCAGAAGCTGCAGCCCCAAGGCCCACAGGTCTCGGATCCACTCACGTGGATGCGTTTAAGGTTCCTTCACGTGTTTTCGTG